TTTACAACGAGCACGACTCGCTTATTGACAAAATTCCAAAGGAAGAGAACTTGATATCACTGGGCGACTTCAACGCTAGGGTGAGTACCGATCATGACTCCTGGCCTTTGTATCTCGGCAAGTTTAGCATTGGGAAGATGAAAGAAAACGGGCAACGTCTACTAGAAATGTATTCATACCATAACCTCAGCATCACCATTTCATTTTTTTCAGACAAAGCCACAGCACAGTGTCTTGGAGGCATCCCCGATCCAAACACTGGCATCAGCTGAACTTGATCATCACGAGACGGTCTGCCGTGAAGGGTGTGCAGCTCATTCGTGCATTCAACAGCGCTGATTGCGACACCGATCACTCAATAGTTTGTTGTAAATTTAGGCTTCAACCAAACAAGATCCACCACTCTAGGCATGTGGGTAAACCACACATTATTGTGAGCAAGACGTCATATCCAGACAAGACTGAAGAATTCACTTATGCCCTCTCCAAGGCTTTCAGTTCAGAACCTCCCTACGGCAGTGCCAAAGAGAGATGGACCGCTTTGCTAAAGCATGCGATGAATTCGGGTTGACCATCAGCCTAAAGAAAACCAACGTGATGGCTCAAGACGCGGAACCTCCCAGCATCTTCATCAACAGCTACAAACTAGAAGTAGTCACTGAGTTCACTTACTTTGGCTCTACCATCACAAGCAACCTCTCATTCGACGCCGAGCTCAGCAAGCGGATTTGAAAGGCATAAACAACTCTCTAAATTGTTGCAGAGATTTTGGAACAACAGCATGCTGACACTGAACACTAAGATCAATGTGTACCGTATCTGCGTGCTTAGCACCCTTCTGTACGCCAGCGAAACTTGGACCCTGTATGCCTCTCAGGAGAAAATGTTGAGTGCCTTTCACGTGCGTTGTCTTCGTCGCATACTCGGGATCACCTGGAGCGATCGTTTGACAAACAACGAGGTGCTTGAACATGCCAAAATTCTCAGCATGGTCAGCATGGTCACTCTTCTCCGCCAACATCGCATCAGATGGCTGGGCCATGTCCGTCGAATGGATTACGGACGGATCCCCCAAAGACCTTCTCTACTCTAAGCTTACTTCTGGCAGACGATCAATCGGACGGCCAAATCTCCGCTTCAAGGATGTCTGCAAGCACGACATGAAAGCTATTCGGATCGATGTCAACAATTGGGAAGAGCTTGCCCTCGACAAGTTCAGCTGGCGACATGCTTTGTTCACTGGTCTGAAAGCCAGCGAGGAAACTTTACCACAGCTCGCTGATGAGAAAAAATCTCAGAGGAAGATAATGCAGTTCCAACCCAGACCTGATTCAACCTTCAAGTGCAGCAACTGCAGCAAGGATTGCCACAGAAGACGCTGCACAACTACAAACTGGGATACCTCTCATGGGCGCATTTCCAATATATATATATATATATATATATATATATATATATATATATATATATATATATATATATATATATATTTATATATATATTTATATATATATATTTATATATATATTTATATTTGTATATATATTTGTATTTATATATTTATGTATATATTTATATATATATATATATATATATATATATATATATATATATATATATATATATGTGTATGTATATGTATGTATGTATGTATGTATGTATGTATGTATGTATGTATGTATGTATGTATGTATGTATGTATGTATGTATGTATGTATGTGTATGTATGTATGTATGTATGTATGTATGTATGTATGTATGTATGTATATATGTATATATATATGTATATGTATATATATGTATATGTATATATATGTATATGTATGTATGTATGTATGTATGTATGTATATATATATATATATATATATATATGTGAGAATTGATTACTAGGTCGTCATGCGAGTGTGTCTGCTACGCACGAGTTCGTATAACACCAATTCAGTGGCAACATTTATATGGTGATGCGTGTTTAGTCGTGACGGGCTATGAGCTGGTGTGTGCAGGCAAGGCGACGAGTGCCGTTTACTCGCGGGCCTGAGATCGAAACTCCGTAGAGTACAAATTAAAATTCGCTAATCTGTATGATAATATTATGTTTTTATGTATGTCTGTACATCACGTGTATACATGTATATCTTGATTCATCTTGCGACGGTTTACCACACACACACAGACTTTATATATATATATATATATATATATATATATATATATATATATACATTGGCCTATTAAATTTTTACAGACATTTCACAATAGTGTTTGTGTGTGTGTGTGCGTGTGTGTGTGTTTGTGCGTGTGTGTGTGAACTATTGTCTCCTATAATATTATGCATCGCATTGAATTTGATTTTATTTTGCTTTATTTCCTCTACACAGTTGTGTAGTGCTAAAAAAAAGAATTGAAAAAGCACAATAAATTAGTGATGGAATCCATGTTGCTTAAATGTAAGGTATGTAGGGTTGGGGTGGCGAGTGTAGAAAAGTAAGCAACTACAGTTCCCATAATATTTTACACACCTGTCTCTTCACAACATCTCCCTTTGTATTTATTTATTTATTTATTTATTTATTTATTTATTTATTTATTTATTTATTTATTTAATTTATTTGGGGCCGAAGAACAAAGTCTTAAATTACTTTTGTATTTTTAATTCTTTTGTGAAGAAATATGAGTTAAAAATTCTCCACTCTAATTACCTTAGCCGTTTGAAAAAAAACTTTTAGATGTTACTCATCGTTACGGAAAAAAATTGAACAATCTCTGTATTTTGGTGTATGATTGATGTGTGTAATTTGTGTTATAGATTATAGATTATACAGCCTGGTTTTACCTGAGACACCGTCCTATAAAGAAACACCACCCTGCATGCTCTGTTTGGTCTCTTTCACTTCTTGAACTTCATAAGTAAATAATGCAAAAAAAAAAAAAAGAGCCGATAATGTTTGTTTTTTATATTTAAAATATTTGGACATTCCGAAGCTGATATTGTCTAGTCTGGAGAGATTTTTTCGTATTTTATAACTTTTAAAGATAGCGTACTTTAGACAAATTCAGGATGATTTTTCGAGCACATTTAAGCAGTTATTTTGGTTAGCAGTGTGCTTAGATTATGTACAATTTCCACAATTGCAATATCCAAAGAAATTTCTACCACATTGCATGAAAGTAACATTGAGTCATTCAGTACACTGTGCACGTACAAATACAAACAACTTTACCTTTTATATGCCACTCTCTCGGATATACATAACGTCCGTTGAGCATGTCCATGTCGTTGCATTTTCGCGTTGGAGTAGTGGGACCAAATTGCGCATGATATAAATTTTCTGCGTGTTTTAGCTTGATTTTGAATTTTCTTTTTCCAAAGTTTTGAGAACATAGGACCCGGTCCCATGTTTGCTGAATATATCAAATTCTCTCCATCACATTTAGAAAATATCTTTCCTTTATATTTTTCTTACAGCTTGGTTTAGAATGATGGGACAGTCAACCAAATAAATTTTACAGGCATCAGTGATTAAATCAGGGATTAAAAATACAACCATAAAATTCAGCATGTTCTTGAAATTAATGAATTAATTATTCTTTCAGAAAAAACACACGAGAATCTCCTGAAAATGAAGAAACTCTTAAACCTGCTTTGACAAAATGAAGAACTCTTAGTGTGCAGCTTTAAACTCGGGATTTATCTGTCCCGAAAATCTTAATAATGTCAGAAACATTATGAGCAAGATAGTTAAAAATCTCAGTTTGAGGAAACATTGATAGAAAATGGTTAAAACTTGGGCCTCGTCTGCGTTGTACTTTTTACATAATTAATAAAATATGTACATTACTTCGATCTACAATTATATCTTCGAAGGTAAGATTTTTATCAAAGCGGGTGGCCCCGAGTGGCCGAGTGGTCTAAAGCGTTTTCCGTTACGGATCACTGCCATCTCACCTCTGTCTGCGTGGGTTAGAGTCTAGGATTCGGCGAATGTGGATAGGTGAAAAAGCTTGCCAGTAGCTTCTCGAGGATCGGTGGTTCTTTACGGGGATTTCCAAGCTTCTTCCTCCACCATTAATACTGGCCGCCATGTATAGCCTATCGTGTGCTGAAAATGGCGTAAGCCCCACAACAACATTTTTATCAAAGCTCTTGTTGTTGTTGCTGCTTCTCTGTGTGTGTGTGTGTATGTGTGTGTGTGTGTGTGTGTGTGTGTGTGTGTGTGTGTGTGTGTGTGTGTGTGTGTGTGTGTGTGTGTGTGTGTGTGTGTGATGGCGCGAGTGTTGTTTAATTATAAGAACGATACATCAGGGAATTTTTGTACCAGTAAGAACGTACGTCATTTAACAAAGTTAGTTATTGTAAAACAAACGATCATTATGTATCTAATTTGCTTTATGAACGTACTACCTGAACCCGGGAATTGTAGCCGTGTTGGGACCAAAACATGATACCAAAATAATACAGTGTGTCAGTAATTCGATTCGTGTTTAAATAGCAAAAAACAAGTATAATCTTCCAACATATACTTGACATAACGAGGTTTCTAATACAGACGTTGATAAGTTGATATGATATTGTTTTGTTGTCTTGTACTGAATGTTTGCGGGAACTGACTTAAATAAATATAAGTTCATTCTCCTCCTAGAAGGTTTTATTTGCTGAACATCATAGACAAACACAAACACACACACGTGCTATCAGGGTGCCTACTGAATTCAGTCATAAGTGATATAATAAGTGACCTAAATGTTTGTATGTAAGGTGACACTTGTTGTTAAGTGTGGTCTCATCTGGGTGGTAATTTTACAAAAACCTCAGTAATACAAACTATATTTATTCTCAGTATATTGTGTCCTATATATGTCCACTTCTATGTATCCATCTATATTGAATTATTATGATATATCCAAACAATCGATCCATATATCCGTCCATCCGTCTGTTCGTCCGTCCGTCCATCCATCCATCCATCCATCCATCCATCCATCCATCCATCCATCACCGCTCCGGTGGCTTAGTGGTTAAAGCGTCTGTCTCGGATGCGGGAGGTCGTGGGTTCTATCCACGGTCGAGTCATACCAAAGACTTACAAATATGATACTAACCGCTGCTTCGCTTGGCACTCAGCGTCAAGAGGTTAGTGTTAGGACTGGTCGGCCTGGTGTCAGAATATTGTGACTCAGTGGGACATCATGCTTCCTGTCTGCGGCATGATGCCCCAGTGGCTGACACTATAAACTGCCACAATACGGATATCGCAGCGATATGACTGACACATTGTTAAAGCTACATTAACAATCATAACTTTACATCACATCACACCATATCGCATCACATCTATCTGCTCACCTGAACAAAGCTATGCTATTTAGATTTTAAAAAATTATATTTTGTAAACGTTCTTTCGCTTATATATCTCAGCTACGATGTCTTTTCTCTAATAAATACGATTTGTACGTTGACATTCCAACTCTCAAGTCATCCTGCCACATCTATTTTATTCTTGCTATATTATTATACAAGCGTCTCTCTCTCTCTCTCTCTCTCTCTCTCTCTCTCTCTCTCTCTCTCTCTCTCTCTCATATATATATATATATATATATATATATATATATATATATATATATATATATATATATATATATATATATATATGCTTGAGTGTTTGTGTATTTAGATAGATACTTTTAGATTTATTTATTGCTGAGATTGAGGTCATCATAAATAGCTATATAGTTTATGGAATTTTCTTTAAAAATGCGGGCGTCTCTATTTCACAGTACGCTTGCTTAAATTTGTCTTGAGGGGTGGAGATTTGAATAAATTCGGGCGTTTAAGAACTAATCAACTATATTAGCAAAATTAACCACGCATCCAAGTTGAACGTGTATTCTCCTTTCCCTTTTCCTCTCATCACATTTATTGGTAAGGCAATTTTTTTAACAAAATACTGCAAGATTGCCATTCTATCAAGGCACTATTATCTATAACGTGTAGCTATCACTTCCAGCTATACTATTGCCGAAAAAACGCAGTTATTAGTTTTTGCCGATTGTCATAGCACTGTGGTTATTATGAGACGCTATAGGGGACAAAAGCTGGTTCAATGATAAAGTCGCTGTTAAAATTTCAAAGTCGTATGTCGAGATATTCATTATCAAATATTGGATCAAATTGCATGTCATCAAAGTTCCATTTTCAATATCGAGATTTTAGATTTTAGAATGCTAAATTATACAGGTATGGTTTAACGTTCTATTTCTTATGTCGATGGACGTTTTACAGTGTATATTTTACTTATACAACGGTGGTTGAAGTTTTAGTATCATATATCAAAAATCTCTAATTCACACGTCATATACACCTGTTAATGATGAAAATTTCATTTCATATGACAAGTGTTCATATTTCATCTGCTGAATTTTACAGGAGCGGGAAGCAGCCTTCTTATTTAAAAAATAAAGCGGTCCTTTCCCGAGAGCGACCTCTAACGAAGAAATTCATAGTAATTCTCGATCTGTGAATGGTAGCTATTAAACTGTAAATGCATGAAATGTAATATCAACTCATAACTGAATACACGAATGGTGCTCAATATTATTTTAAATTATTAAAGTGGACATTGTGTAATGTTACTTTTAACACCAACACATCATCTCACCATATAAAAAAACTATTCTGACAAACACAATAAAATGTCCAAATACAGCTGTATAATTCAACAGATACAATCTAAAATTTCGACCTAGAAAATGTAATTTTAAGGAAAAGCAATTTTGATAAAACACGCAAAATTGGAATTCTGTACATAGGACATTAAAATATCACCTGCAACGTACTGATTGGACCAGCTATGAGGCGCTGATTGGTCCGCGCCTCATAGGTTTTGAGTCGAAACATATATATATATATATATATATATATATATATATATATATATATATATATATATATATATATATATATATATATATATATATATATATATATATATATATATATATATATATATATATATGAGAACATGACTAAAATAAATCACTTAGGCGTGCACAAGGGATATGCCTGGTCGATTTATTTAAAGATTGAGTGCGAATTCGGAGGTCTGTTTACTTTCGAATATATGAAGTAACACATATCAATTAATCTTTGACACAACACATGCCGTGAATGACAAAGTTTGAGACAACCATCTCAGATAATAGGTTCTCTGCTTTAATTAATGACTGCATTTTTGTAATGTAGTTAATATCAAAGCTCGTTTACCGTGAAATAAAATCGTCAAATATACATGTTACACCACATGGTTATCATAGCCGATTATTATATAAAATTAGCGGAATTATTTAAACGAGAAATGCCTGCGGATTGAACGATAATGAAATGAAAGAGACCAATTAGCTCTTTTACATAATTAAGAATACATCACCTGTATGGTGTTTATCTATGATTTTATTCATTGCCGTCTGTATACTCCAATAGCTAGGACACTTCTCATAGCAACGAAACAGCAAATGAATCGGGCAAATACTGTTCTAATCGTTTGATGACCAAAATACCCATGTTGCGTCTTCCCCGAATGTGCTGACATGACGTCACACTAGGAGAAATAGGGTCAATGTAGTTCATTTAGGAGTCATTTTGAGCAATCCGAGCATTAATGAAACTAAGAGGAATTTGAGCATATTATGCGGATGCACACATGAAGGTTCGCGCTCATACATGCAGCAGTGAATAGTAAATTGTATTTACTACACTGAATGGTCGCTTCTAGTTTAAATTAGTCTCATTTGAGATTACGTCAGCCCCAGGGATTTTCCAGAGCAAGCTCACAGGCAATTAAGGACACGGGTCTTTATGGATGATATACTCATTTATAACAAATTATGGATGAGTAATACAGAACACTAAATTTGGTACTGGGGAAACTCAATGGGAATGATCACAAGTCCAACAAAAAAAATGTGAATTTATTAAGAATAAATCTGGAGTCGTTCTGTGACATGATCAGCTCAGATGGCATACTCCTCAGTTCAGTAGAGATTGATGCTGTGAAAGAGATACCTGCTCCATTAAATGACAGATTTCTTCAATATTGCGAATAGTAAAAAACCTGCCGAAATCAGACTGGCATTGGTTTCTAGATCAGGAACACTATATCAAGAAAGTCAAGGATTCGCTGACGTCTATTCCAGTGTTAGCATTGTACGACCATGGAATGTTGACAGTTTTGAAAACTGATGCCATCAATTGTGTTGCTGGTGGTTCATTTTTCGAATAGCAAGAAGACAAACTCGAGCCGATATATTTTGTTCAGAAACACACACCTAGCGAAATATGCATATAAAGAAGGTGTATTTTATGCGCGTGTGGGCCTCTGAGCTGCTTTCTCCATATCGTGTTGGGCTTGACATGCTCAGACCACATACACAAGCGTCACTAATCAACATGTTTTAAAGATGATGTTGATGCGTTAGAGGCTCTTGGACACGAAGACAGATCATGTAGCCGTGACGTCGTTGTTGGTTCCATATACCCTTTCCCGCAGATCTCTCCAAGGCCATGAAGCCGCATGTGAACAGGAAATGGAAGTTTATTGAAAAGATGGAGTCGTGCAGGCCTATTTCCAAACGAAATTCAGACCAAAGAAAAGAAGGGTACATAAGTTGCAACCATCTGCAGTCTAATGACTCTCAACAAAAAAGGGATTGCCAAAAAAGACAAATAGAAGTCCCCCTCTCCCCTACCTACATCCTTATTTTGCTGTACACAGAGAAATCTCCATTCAGAACGAATAAGACAAAATAGAGATCTATGTATTTGGTCAGAGTAGCGAAGCAGTGAAGACAATCTATTTTGCCAAACAGTCCATGGTAGAAAATTGTGAATGATATGTTTGAGAAATCAAACAACAAAAGCATCAGGCAGCAAAATGGCTACTTCATACACTATTTGTGAATAATGCATCTAACACAAATAGCATCCCAACAAGTAATAGGAAAGAATAAGAGCGCATTTGCATGATGAGGAAGCCTATAAATTGTTGTAGTAAACAATAGGATAAAACTGGCTTCTTCAGACGTCAAGGACGTTGCTGACAAATACGATTTTAAACAAGTATTGACAAGTCCCTGCGATCCACAAATAAACATATAATAGAAAGTTTTGTCGATATTGGAAACACAATAGTTAGATGGAACGAAACATTCCTGTTTATTAGTTATCAGTAAATCCCTATTCGCGAACGGCGAACATGCCAGATTAGGACCACCTTGCACATTATTGTAAATAATTAAATCCAAGGTGGTCAAACCTCAAATTCGTCACACAGAAACATTAAGACAAAACGGAGACATAAATTCATTTAACAACTGTCGTCACTATGAACATAATCAACCAGACCATGCTGAGGGAGACAGCATCAGAATGAAGGGGCATGGGAATGATTATTACTAATATTAGTACCCTTACTTTTTTGACAAGGTACTTACAAAAGCCTGTGTATCAACGGAGCAGCCAGGCTTGATTCACACCTGGCGCATTTTTGCTTTTTTCGGACTACTAACAAAAACTTGTTATTAACATATACTGAAAGAAATTAAGCAGTCCTCTAAATTTTTTACTAGAATTGTTGCAAATCATAATAGGTATACGTATAACATATCAGTTACCTTCTTTATTCGATATTTTGTTTTCGATTGTCTGCCAGATTAGCTCAACTGATAAATATTTGCGTTTTTAGTCTTGATTTTTCGTGTGCCACATTGCTGCGTTAAATATTGCATAACGTATCACAAAAAATAAATCTAAATTTGGCACAGCAATCCTTATTTGGAAACCGAACTGCTGCGAGAATCTGGTATTAACTGTCATGTTGGACAAAGCATAAATACATACATACATACATACATACATACATACATACATACATACATACATACATACATACATACATACATACATACATACATACATACATACATACATACATACATACATACATACACACACACACACACACACACACACACACACACACACACACACACACACACACACACACATACATACATACA